ACTTTTTCCCAATTGATCTTGTTGGCACGCGTGACAGAACACGAAAAACAAGATGAGCAAGACAACGACGGTGATGGCAACAAAATAAGAGAAAAACGAAACACATTGCTGGAGCCAAATAATTTGATTTGCTTTTAGTGGTATTGAAAAGAGCACTTTCCCAATTGGTTTTATTCTGACGATAACAGTGATAGCGCAAATGGATGATGTGAGCCAACGAATGTATCGGATACACATACACTCTTTCCACTTTTTTTCTATTTTCTCGCTTCAATTTCTTGCATTGCATACAATCGACATTTTTATTTTCTTTGTAGATGTTTGTGTTGCTTCGTGAGTGTGTTTTAATATTTGTTTATTTATTATAAGTGTCTTAATCGGTCAAAAGGAGCAAATATGGATTTTATGCATATATTCTTCCCAACTATTCCACTATCAATATCAATTGCCAACGAAAGACTTGACACACGATTATTTTCATGCTCAATTTCCTTAAAATATATCGTTTACATGTTTGATTGTTTTTTTTAAGTATAATTCTTGCATGAGCTCTTTCTGTCAATGTGTATTAAAGTGTCCTTATTATGCGTTATAGTAATTTCATAGATAAATGGAAATAAATGTAAACGCCTTGTATTTATTTGTATATGTTAAAACGAAAGTGTTTAAAGGAAATCTTCAATGGCTGTTGAATAGGAAATGACCTAAGGGACGAATAATTCGTTTTGTTAATTGAAAGAAATTTTATAAAAGTGATTTGCAACTGAGCTTGAAGTGAAATGATGAACGAAAAACAACATAAATTCTACAATGAATGGACCTTTGGCTTCTTTGACTCTGACACTAGAACCAAGCATTTTGTGCTTTTCATATACCATGGAAAGTACTTATTAGATTGTTGGCTTCGGGCAACTGGTAAAATGTTCAACATCCATTTTCTCGATTTATAGCTTCCAAACTTTCTAATGAATTAATTTCTCAATAATGAACCAAAACGCACTGATCACATTTCGATGTCGTTCACATATTTTTTTTTTCTTTCGTTTTTTCATTTAACTTGTAGCACGCGACCTTCCTACCATCATCATCATCATCATCGAATTATGGCTGTGTACGACATTCTTTCGTGTGCGACGTCTTCGTTCGACGCAACATGGAAAGAGGGAAAAACAACTCCCCAAAAGATTGCTCGCATTTACGTAAAACAGTAAATACATTTATGTTTCGTTGTCTGTTCCATTTCACTTTTACTCGCTTGTTGTTTAGTTTTTCGATCCTTTTAAATGTGAAATCGGTGTTTCGTTGCCATTTGGCGATGAATGTGCACATTTCGACCGCTGGCCTATACCTTTTAATGTTATTTATTTTCCTGTAAGCGTTGATGTCGCATCTTCAGCACATTCCATTTTTCTCCGGAACATTGTTTTCTGCATGATGTCAAGATTCGTTTTTTTGTCTTTTTTTTTATTCATTCGTTTGACATGGAGTGGTAAAAAGAACGGCATGTTTATTTATGTTTAGAATTTTATTAAATTTGTTTGTTTTTCTTCATTACATTGATGGGACTTTTTGCATTGTGAATTAATTCGATGTAAAATAGCCCAATTTGATGAAATCCTTTAGCGTTAATCACGCATCTATTTAAAATTCAGAGAGAAAAAAACCAAAATCCAAGAGCAGTCCACTTCAACGACAAAATAAATGCCAAACATGGGTGAGTCTACATTTTCGATTCGTGCGATGTATATCTTTGCATATTTTGCGGTGAATACGGTGCACTGAGCAATCTGATTGTCATTGCCAATGTTGAGATGAGTCTTTATAGGTAATAGCAAATGTGGTATTTACCGCGCACTCTTTTGCTATTATGTGTGTGTGTATATATATTTTTTGTTTCCGTCGACTGCATATTTCTATTCGTCTCGTGTTTTTCCCTCTATCTACCAACGTTGTCTTTTTGTCGGGATAAAATTGCGAAAGTATTCTGGCAGAAAATTGAGAGTGGCGCGCAAGTGTATATTGCTTACACTTAAATAAATCCAATAACAAGTGGCATTTTAATGCTGTTGTAATGTTCTCTCCCCTAGAAGTTCTTTTTTTTATGCTATGTGTTGTTTTCTTTTGCCGCTACTTTAAATCGCGTTATTTGCCATATAGTATGTTCATGTTTCGTGCACCCAACCGCACACTGTGTTTATGCATCTGTCTTACTCGCTCTGGCTCATGTATTCATCTTAATAGCACGTACGAATGCGGCAAAAGCCAGCAAAGTCCACATTAAATACATGAGTTCGTTGATTGATTTCACCATTTATTTGTATATTCTATCCAATTCGATTCACTCGCTCCCGCTCTATCTCCTATCTATCTTTCCATTCGTCTGCATTCTTTGCACAACCACCACCGCCATCACCACCACACATATTGTTCATTTTCCGATTATTATTATCTACAACTTTAATATACAATGTTCCAGTGCACAGGGAGAAAGAGAGTGAAAGATGTGCGGGTGAGCTGGAGCAAGCGACCGAAAGATACATTCGAAACGAATGAAGGAGCATTTCTCGTAGTCGCTTGCTTGCTCGTTTGCTTGCAGCCACTTTTCTTGATTTCTTTTTAACAAAAATCTCCTTTACTTTGCTTTCCATTCGGCGAGCACATAAAACACCGAACGTTATGTCTTTGCGCGCGTAAATAAAACATCGCATATAATATGTTTCTCTGTTGTATTTATTTGTGTGTTTTTCCCTTATCTTTTATCGTAATTTAATTGAATGTGCGCGCGCTGTGCGTATATATGCGTATATAAGATAAAATATCAATTAATAAATTGTATTTTGAGCGAAATTGTTTAATTTTCGGAAACGAAACGAAACGAAACAAGGCTGCCATTATATTCACGATGAATATTTTTTTTTGGTTTTGTTTTATATGGCGCAAAGTATTTTAACGTATGTATTTGTTTGCTATGTGCATTTTTGTTATTCGTCTATTCGTTTCTTTTTTGCACGGTTTTATATCATTTTGTTTCGATGCGGCTTTTGGTGTGCATGAATCGAGAGAATTGGAAAGCGTTGCTATTCGGGTAAAAAATTAATCTTTCCATTCCTACTTTCTTTTTCCTACTTTTCTTTTTCATCATCGTCATCATCATCCATTCATAGTATGCGGGGTAATCCATAATTCAGTGGTGTTTTACTGTTGATCGCACCAGCTACGCTCATGCCAATCATAAGTTTATGAGCGGCCGTCATTCTCAAAGACATGTACAAACGTAACCGAATTAAGGCTCTCAACGAATTGTGCACAATTTGATATTGTTTGTTTGTGATGGTTTGGGTTTCGTTCTCCATGTTTTTGTTGTTGTTTGCTTGATTTCCATGCATCCGCCGTTTATATTTAACGCATGTGGAAATTTTCGCGTTTGCAGATTTCACTTCACAATTTTACTCATTAGGTTATAATTGTTCATTTAGAAGAACAAACAGCTCAGCACTTTTTCCCTTTTTTGCAAACTCGACTCTCGCACTTCTCGCCATTTTATAGCCCATGTATGAGGTAAAAAATGTACACTCACACACACACATACAAAAATACACGCACATCAACTCATAACTTTTTCGTCATAATTGGCGACTGTACGGTCTGAATGATGTAATGTAATTGATCTGATATATGAAATAAGTAAAACTTTGCACAGACGGTTTTTGCAACAATCAAAAACAGGTTACTTGAATGTATAAAATAGCAACAGCACAAGCAAAACCAACAACAATACGATCACAAAAATGTGCATATCTCAGGAGACTATAAATGTGACTTGAACGGGCAAAATATAAAAAGAAAAATGTAAGCAAGAGAGACGGAGATATAGACTCTTCAAAAAGATACATACATCCACCGATGGTGAACAAGTCGAGATTCTGAGAAAAAGACGAGATGTGATGGAACAAATGAATTGTTATTAAATAAATATGATGACTATCATGCGGTAGTTGAATAGGACTGTTCATAAAATTCAATCAAAATTGTGTGCCGCGCGCACGCTACCCACAATGTAAATACAATTTTCTCCTCTCATTCTCTACGCTCTTTCGCTTGCACTGTATGCTTTTTATTCCTGCACAGTTTACTCTTTGCAGTCGGCACCGAGCTGCTCTATATTTGTGTATATTCTGTACTTAATTGTTCCCTTCATTTTACTCATAGCCATCAGTCTGTTCGTCAGCTGCTTTGACTATTCCTCGTTGCGGTGTGTGTTTGGGTTTGTGTGTGTATGTGTTTTTTTTTTATCGTTTGTGTAATTAAAAAAAATAATGTAATTAAAAAACTAAATGCAGCAAGTAAAATAGCTCGAGAGAACGTATTGTGATACGAGTTTTATAAACGAGCGCGCGTGAGGGTTTTATTTTAAATATTTAATTTATTAAAATTACTTTCACATTGAATTGCCTTTTATTATGCAGATAAATTGAGCGGTATTAGCTGAACAATATTGCGGCTTTATTTGGATCGCTTCTTGTTAGTTTTTCTTCTATTAATAAATATTAAATAAGAGCATGTGCTCCTCAGCGTGGCCAGCCGTTCTAATTACCAGCCAAAAATTGCATTGAATTTTTGTTTATTTGATACATTTTCAACATTTCGTATTGTCATCGTTTCAATTAAAATATTATTGTTTATCTTTCCTTTCCGTTTGGATTTTCATTTTGAAACATATATGAAGCTGCTTTATGATGCACAAGAGCTGAACTGACAGACGAAAATAAGAGGTTGAAGTGCTGAATCTAATTGAAATTTAGTCAAGTTTCTTTTAATTTAAATTTATAAGCAAAAATTTCCTCTACTTTGCCTTTGATATTAAAGTAATAAACAGAATAGTTTTGAGTATTCATCAAAATATCCACCATTCGGATTAAATTTCATTCGTTTATTTTACACCATGAAGGACGGAAGGTAATAAATACAAATATTTTGTATGTATTGCTTTTTTTAATTACCTAAATTGGAGTGGACAGCAAAGTCGTCAGTGAGTGCGCTTCCGGTTTGTTGGATGCTGAGCACAGTACTTGAAAATGTCACGTTTTATTGTTTATATTGTAATCTCGAAAGCAGTTTTTTTGCCTGTGTTGATATTCATGGGACCGGGTGCTCTTTGGGTTTTATACTATGTAATTTAGTTCACTTTGTACACAAACACAAACACACACAGTGTCATTCACAATGATTTTACAAAACAATTTCCTTTTTTCTCTCAACTGCTAATACGTTAAGTGTTGATTTTTTTTTTGTTACGATAAGTTATTTGTGTGTAATACACCCGAATTGAGTTTCAATTATGTTGTTATTTACTTGTACATAAGAATCAATTTCCAACTTCTGGCGCGTCTTGCGGATAAGTCTTCAAAATGATAAATAATTAAACGTTATATTAATTTGTATAAAATTGCTTCGCACTGTTCACTTTCTGCTTCTGTCACTTTCTCTCTTTTACTCTCTCTCTCTCTCGTCCACTCTCTTTCTTATTCTATGTCATTTTGCAGAAAAATTACTGTTTGTAGCGCGAAACGTTTACTTTAACGAAAAATACAAAATCATATTTACATGTACATCAATTTTTCACTTGTTTTAAACTTTTTGACTTACGAATGTATGTGAAATTGTGAAGTAAATAGATTTGTATATACATTTAGATGTAATTAAAATGCAGCAATCAAAAATAAATTGGTTAGTTTATGGTATACGTGATTCGGATATTAGTTCTAGTACGTAACATTTGAATATATATGAATTGAAATTGAAAATGTTTCGAGAGTGCATCACATTGAAACTGTTACCCGTTCAACGTTCATATTCAAACTGTTTGGGATGTTGTTAAAACAGCAAAATGTTTCATTCGTATGGTTGGTGTGCGTCGTCATAATTTTCAATTCTGTGGCGAATTGAATGGAAATTCAACACGAGCGGTGTGTCGCTCGTGCGACAGAAAGACAATTTTCCGTATAGCTTGCTATTGCACCTATATTGCCAACGAACGTTTATATCCGGCTCGGTATACACTTGCTCGCCCATTCGTTCGTTCTGTCGTTTCGTTCGTATGCTTGTTCGTCTTTACCGTGTGCACAATCACACTGTACATAGATGTTGCATGTGGAGAAATGAAGCAGCCCCGACACTTTGTTGTGTAGTACACCAATTTCCGCGTGCTTTATACTATATGTCCTGTTGGTTGTGCGTACTATTGGCGTATTATGTACACGCTATGTTTCTCTCTCTATCTATCTCTCTGTGTGTGTATGCTATATGGTGGCGTGCAGCCGATTCTTCCATTTTCGCAATCTCAAAATTACGGCTACTAACACCACTCAATCAGTTGAAGCTCATGAGCTCTAATGTTGTTGCTCTTGTCTATGTCAATTCATATTCATTCAATTTTCCTTTGTTGCAGCCGTTATCGTTTCACTTTTCGGTGATTGCTGAACGGTGTGGAGCAAGCGGATACACAGACCAAACACAAAACAAAAAAGAATGGGCAAAGAATCTTTAAGTCAGCGAATATCAAATGGTTTCATGCAAACATTCATCGAATTTAATGTGTTGTTTTGTATGCATAATATTATTTAGTTGTGATGCTTTAAAGAGTTTATATTTTTCTAGTAATAACGCATCTATTTTTCTCCTGTCCATGGTGCTGGCAGCAAAGAGGGCGATTCACACATACATGCATATCAGACACAGACACCAACATACACATCGAATGTGTCAAGTGATATGACCATTTTGCCGTAAATTTAGCACGCAACCCTCTTGCCTTACAATCAAATACAATGCAGCGCATGTACTACGACAAAACGATGTGTGATATTCGTACTGATTTTTTGATTGTATTATGGCCACATAAAAATTTCGGTTGATGATTTCGGACGATGATTTTTATGCGTAAAACTCATTGCGTCTTATCGTAATTGCGTTCGACCCGTTGTTTGATATGAAATCATGAGACAGGGGTACACAGCAATATTGTACTATATATTGTATATTTATATCGTTGGTCGCTTGCAGTCGATTCTATAACACTTATTGGAGAGCATGAGCACCAACACCAACACCGACATCACCATCATTCAAATGAGAGGAACAGAAGAGGATTTTTATTATCATCGGTTATTAATGGCATGCGGATATGTACGAGTTGGTGGAGTATCGGAAATGCGAATGTGTAAATATTGAAATGAAAATTAATTTAATGGAATATTGTAAATGGCTTTGCCAAATAAATGCGGTAACATTTACTCAAGTATTGTTTGTTCAATCGAATTGAATTCAATTACAGTTCGAAACTCGAAATGATGATGATGATGAATTTACTCGGTTTTCATCACTTTATGCTCAAATTCAAAATCAAAGAATTCTCTAAGCAATATCATACGGATTTCAATTAAACAGAACAGCCGACGCTTCTCCGAATTCAATCAATTAACATACGAACAGAAGATGTATGCACATCATACCGATCTCTATCAACTGTTGAGTGTGTTGAATAGCGCGTAATGAATTTTATATATGCATTATATTTATATATCTATATATATATAAAAGCCATGTATTTACATATTGGGCACTTTATTGGGCATTAATAATCGAGTCCGTTGACAGTGTGGCTATAATGAGACGATTGAATGTGATGCGATATGGTGCAAACTGTATTTGTTGCCTGTTTCGTGTGCAACACACTCATATATACAAGACATCGACAATGAGGGGTTGATTGGATGCGGCACCAAAGAATCGCCGTCGTCGTCGTTGTCAGCAGCAGCAGCATGAGCAACAATATGAGCCACCATCAGAATGTTTGGCGTTCGCTCTATTTAGTAAATAAATTTTATTATAACTTGTACATACATAAAAAAAGAAAATCACAAATTCTCCATTTAAATTGGTTTGGTGCAAGAAGGAGAACGGGTACAGGCAATGGAAACGGGTACATCATGTGTTTCACTCAACTCTCAACGACTCATAGCTTCACTCCATGTATTGTGTTTTCAACGAATGTTCAGGGCCCAAAATAATGCCTTCCACAAGAGTTATTTCATTTCTTTCATTGGTTTTTATTTCATTCGGGTAATAGAATCGACAAAATTATTTCGTTACATACCTTCTGACCAGGAGTCCGAGGTTTTTGATTACTCCCTCCTGGCGATATGTTACCTCCTCGCAGGTGAACACCTCTTCTTTCGATCTGTTGCGGTTTTCCCCTCGCAATCGATTTTGACCCTAGTCTTTTCAATTTTTATTATTTTTATACTATTTTTTGCTTATCCCTCACGTTGTTTCACAATTACCCTTCTCAGAGAAGGCTCCTTTTAAATCTTCAAGTATGATTGACTGGAATCATAACAAACAAACAAAATTTCACTTTATTTAATTGAAAACAAACAAATCTACAGAAAAATCACCAAAATGATTTGATAAATTTTATGCGCACTTCGTTTAGTTTAGCCACTGTGCCGTATAGCCATATATGGTGCATGATTGTACGCATATTCCGCATTAAAATAAACAAACATAAGACCAAGTCAGGCAAGAGCAATAGACTAGTGACAGTATAAGTAAGTAAAATGATAATCATATTATACATCTATCATATATTATATGTACGTTGTACGCTTTATGTGTATATATACAAATAAACGGTGTGTCAGTGTTTGGTCCGAATTCGAATGTTCAAATTTTCCAATTTTCTACCAAATGAACATTATGCACAATATTTGTTATTCGTTTAAAGTATGGCATGTGACCGTGCTGAACGGTGCTGAAGAAATGCTGTCGCGTATTTGAAAATTTACGTCAACAGACGCAATGATATTGTGCTTTCTCCGAGAAAATTGGAAACACGCGATCCACAAAAAGTATTAGCGAATAAAAAAAAATGCTTTTAAAATTCACAAAAATACAGCCATTCACATGAGTCATTCTGAGAATTGCAAGGAGAATCGTATATTTATTATGATAATTGGATTTTGAGGATATTCCACAATGATCCATCCAATGGCGGATGAAAAAGTATTTAAAGCTTTTATAATTGTTCGATTGGTAAAATGTGTGTTATTTCAATTATATGGCCATGGTGTAACCAAGAGCAAATATTGAATAGACTTTTGGGTCAGTATTTAAAATGTTTTTATGAAATATACATGGACCCAATCGTACATAAGATGCATTGGCTTCTTGACATTTCGACACGTACATGTGCATAGTTGAGTACCGTCAATCGATTCTAACAACAAGGACCGATAAAGCAATGACAGAAAAATGAATGAAAACTCATAATGGTCATGCTCAGTACTTTTAAAGCGATGTATATACACCATTGCATTAATTAATTGATTATAGATTCAATGAAGGAATTTTGATTAGCTAAATTAGTGTGGGGAGCAGACATTTTCAAAACTGTTTGTTGTACATTAGTTTTAGTTTGGTCAAAGGTTATTAATGGTAAACACATATATCTATATTCGTTCACATTTCTGTCATCATATCGATGTTATTTGGTCTGTTTCTGGCATCCTCTGGCAAGAGCTGTCACCACGCCATGATTGCCTTTCTTTTTTTCGATTATCACTAATGCGAGCACGTTGCAAATCTGCGCGGTCTTGCTCGTCATTATTTTTAATTCATCAAGTACACATGCCTCGATATGCGTACAATCGCTGATAAAGTGCTTCTATATGCATCAATCCATTCCCATTTGCCGTTCTCGAACTCGTTTGGTTTTGGAAATTCGTTAATAATATGTACCGACATTGTACTCTCATAATCATGGAATGAACGTCTCCACCGTTTTGTCGTTGTTATTATTTGTATGCTCGTTTCACGGAACGAATCTTCAATTTTAAACTGCACATTTCAGCAGATAATAAATACGTAACGAGTGGACGACCAACTAAAAATAAAATTGCACTGAGAGCGGATAAAATTGCGAAGAAAAAGTACCGTGGTAAACTGTAGCAATTGTTGAAGTTATAATAAAGCGCAAAGATAATGAGAAAAAAAAGTTTTCAGTCAACATGTTTCCGTTTGGAATATTATTTATGAAATTGAAGCACATGCGCAAATAAATATACGGCCATAGATCACAAATATTGGTGATGGCCTGCGAATGGCAATGCTCTTCCATTCCATATATGAATGGGTCAGAATAAACATCTGATTTGTACGCAGAGTCTATATAAGTGGAACACAGAGTTTTTTTTACACAGAATTGTGGTTGTATTACATCAAATAAACTATGTAAAAAAAACTCTGTGTTCCACTTTTATAGACTCAGCGTACAAGTTCGATTTTTATTCTGACCCATTCATATGTATATACGTTTATGGTACTCAATTCGGGATTGTTGATATCATTTTCAAAGCAAATTGCTTCGGTTGACGAGCGCAATGAGTCGTTTAACTCGATTCTTTTTTGAATAACACGTTTGTGTGAGTGTATCACGTGAACGATATCTGTAGTCCACTGTACGCGTGCCACATCACCACCATTCAAATTTCGTTTGATAATTTTCCTTTCCATCCGTTGCCTTCATGCTCGATTTTAATTAATTTTTTTTTTTTCATTGTTTATTCATTATAAGCAATGGAATTTATTTTATTTTCCAAGTTTAGGTAGAAAAAATAACGTTAATAACCAAAATTTGAAAATCGTCAGGTATTGAGTCTTAATGACATGAAATTGTTTTTTTTTTTTTTTTTTTTTTTTGCTTTTGCTGCAATGAACATTTTGCACTAAACGATCTGAATCGAATCAATTCAAATGGAATTTTCCTTTGATTTTACCATTCTGTATAGGCACTTTTTGCCATTAACCCTGCGCTGTGCGCTTCGATGGTCGATATGTGTTGCGTTTGACTTTATCAATACAATGCACACAATTGAATTTCTGAATACTTTTATGCGGTTTATTATTTTCAATTTTTCCATTTCCTCTGCATTTTCATAGGTTATTGGTGTTGTACGCGATACCGTGCGTTCGCTGCATACAAGTGCCAGTTTCATCTTTGTTGTTTGCCGTGTGCACCGTTTCATATAACCATCAATCGTTGTCATTGTTGACTGCTCTCGCCACTCCAATGAAATGTAAGTTTTTCTGTATTCAATTCACTCTTCGTCATTTGGGTTTC